GAAACTCGCGCGAAATTCGTGAAGCGTGATAAAATTCACTGAACACAGGGTAGGTCATCTCCCGGTCGTTCATTGATAATCGACGAAGGGTTGATGCATCCGACTCGTTTTATTCAAGATGTCTGCCACGTTTCCACCACCCGAAGATGTCCTAGATCGATGTCGGCAAACACGCTCTCGAATAAAATAACCGATGTACAATTTACATTTAAGGGTATAGGGAACTAGATCAAATTGACCCACATCATCAACATTTCAGGGGTTAGTGAATCCATCGTTCTTCCGTCACTCGATAACCGCGTAAGGTTCCCTCCCCCCGCTTGGCTCCCCCGTCCTTCCCTCTCACCCTCTCGCGTTTCCACCCTCATTACGTCATCACTACCAACGCATACGTCAATGTACACTGCAGGCGCTCTGCAGTCGACTGCCTCGTTATTTCGCGATTTCCTGTTGATCGCCGCCCTACGACATCGCGAGGGATCGATCGCCAGATATGTACGTACATGAACGACGAACAGAAGGACACGCGCCTACGTGTATATATTATACACGAAATCGATCGTCTTTTCGCACGCTCGTGTACACGCGTGTAAATACGATTTTTATCATACCACCGTTAAAAGTAACGTTGATCGATAATAATCCAGATCGATTTGTAACTTTGCTGACACACTAACGCTATTTGCGTGATTTTATTTAATCTCTTTTCATCTGTCACCTGTATATAAGACTAGAAACAGGGTGAAATTTAGGAAACAAATCCTCCTAGATCTATTGTAAGAGAAATCAACTTATTCTTATTTCGGTGGAAGTCATTTTACAAAAATACATGGTTGACCCAGACCTACCAAACCATTTTTTATCTACAGATTCTTTCATTAATTATTTTAAGGACCTTTTTTTAAAAGTCTTTAAAAGAAAAAGATTTAAAAAAAATTATAGTAGTTTAAAGATATCCGATCTTTAAGAAAATAAATTTCTGATATAAAGTTTGGCTCACTAGATTTAGACATTCTTTTTCAAATCGAGGAAATGTTACATAATAATTGATAATTAAATTTTTACTCGATAAATCTTATATAATCGAAAGAATATTATAGAAAATGCCTATTTATTTTGAAAGATAGATATATAATTGAATTATATTATACATTATTGAGCGAGAAGCATTAAGGCTGTAAAATGCAAACAAGCGAAAATCGTGGATAATGGTATAGTGAAGATGTACTCACTAGATGAGTGGTTAAACGAGTAGATATGCAGGCATATATGAATGCTCGAATGAATAGGTAACCACTCATCCAGAGACTACGTCTTTACCGTGCAATCATTCACTATAATAGCTCGTTTTCCGCAATTGTTTAGTACTTATCAACATTATACTAAACATATATTGTTGTATAGTATGACTGTAAAAAAAAATGGTTGCTTATTTGAAAATATCATCTGCAACATCTGTACAGACAACTTTCTGAATTTGATTAATAAATTTGATTTAGTATCTTAAGTTTTTGTCATCTCAAGCGGTGATAAATTTCATATTAAATCCATGCACATTACTTCAATTTTTCGAAGATCTACCGTTCTATTTCGTTGAACTGCAAAATCGGCCGCGGGTTCACGTATTAAAAGCCAATAAATTAGAACTGGCACGCTGCCATTTCAATCTCGTGGATCCTACTCGAGAGAACTCGTCGATGAGCCGTCTTTCCGTTCTATGTCTTTGATTAATTGTGGGATATAGATTGATTGATTTCATGTACAATGGGTAAACAAAATATTCGTCCGCTACGCAATCCTTTCGCTATAGTCATTTTTGACACTCGAGAGAGATCTTGAGATAATCTTATAACATATGGGAATATGTTTATAACATTGGTCAGAATGAAAAGAATTGTTTTCTAAAAATGATTATTAATTAAAGACATTTATTTGCAAATTTTTGTGATTATTATCTTCATAACTTATTATCTTCATTACTTATTCACATATTTGATGTATTTTTGCATTGGCAAAATATTGACGTAAAAATTACTAGGGAATGATATCACTTACAAATTTCGTGATATTTCAAAGATATTTTTCACAGCTACTGATAAATATCATGTAACATGCAACTATATGAATTTTTCATAAATATAGTTGCATAAGGCTCGAATATATTTTACAATTATGGAAATATCTTGTAAATATGAATGCGTATCTTTTCAAAAGTATGTCACATTTATGGCTCCTCCAAACAGTATCTGATATCGATTTCGCTTTAACGAAAATTTGATTAGACGCTATCCTGCTACAATTTATGCAGTTTTCGCGTTAAGTGACTTTGTAACTAAAACCCACAAATAAAAATTTTTATTTATGGAAGTATTTTCTCGAAATTGACTTAAAAGTAAAATTGTGTTATTTCTATTTATAATTTCTATGTTGCTATATATTTTTTTTCAATTTTGATAGTTAAAAATATCCAGGGAGAAATTGAAAGAAACGTTATATTTCTCAGTGTGCGCTCTCTACTCTTCTTCACACGAGAGCTAGGACGCTAAAACTGTCATTAAAATATTTATTGATGCTTTACGCCAGCTTGTATATTTTCGAAACTAGCTTGTAAGAAGCTTATAAATATTTTATGACTGTTATACTGATACAGTACTAGCTTTAGCTATATCTTACGGATAAACATAGTTAGCTAAGTAGCAACGGAGTCGGTAACATTTTACAGATATAACACAAGTAATTAAATCATTCAATCTTATCTGTATAACCTTCATGTACAATTCGAAGAAACTACTATTTTTTTAAATTCTATTTTTAAAGATATTAAAACCATTTAAGTTAGAAATTAAGAACTTTTAATATTGCGTGATAAGTGCATGTACATGCATCATTATCGCTGCCGTTGTCGTCGCTTGAAATTGACGGCGCGATAAGCTGCGATGATGCATGTGCAAAACGTACATTCGCGTGCTCGCGGTTTTACGCAGCGACGAGCGACGAGCGACGAGCGGCGCGGCGTCTAACGGTATGCAAAACGAGCGGACGAACGCAAGCGGGCGTGGAGTAATTCCACGCGATAACATTATGAATAATGCAGCAACGGGATTTGAAGCCCGGCGGAAATGTACGTAACGATTACGCGCATTCCGACGACCGGCGCGGCGCGGCGCGGCGCGGCGTCGCGCGTTTTCCCGCGGCTGTTTTGGGAAAATTCGCAGTGTGTATACCGCATACGTAAGCGTATGATCGTTCCCCTGATCTATATTCGCATTATCCACCAACTAACAAAACACGCGAATATGTAATACTTATGAGGAATGTCATGTGCGCTATTAGCAGTTTTTATATTGTGCTAATTATATTAATTATATTGGCATCATTAAGATACTATTCTTTTTGTAAAGTATAACGAGGCAATAGATGTATCGCAGATATTTTAGATGCTTGTATATGTATCAAATTTTATAAGAGGTTAATATTAATCTTTTATAAAATTGCACGTATTTAGATATATATTCCAAGTAGATATAAATCATCAATAAATTTATACTTATTTCAACGTAAAAAGATCATTATATATTTTATATATTAACTTACATTTTGTTTTATGCTACATAGTCACATTAAAAAATTATGTGTAAAAGAAGGACATATCATGCATAATAAAGATATAAGATTGATGATCATTGTAACGAGCAAAGGATGGACTACAAGCCACGAAGATACATATGCTTTAATGATAAAGCATAATTAAAGCATAAAGCATGATTAAAGTTTAATCAATGAGAAGATTACAGGATATGAAGGAGGGAACGTAATAAGCAACGTAAATTCTCAAAATATAAGATTGTTAATGCTACCGTAAAATCCACTGGATTAAGACTTGAAGATATTGCAAGGTTCGAAGATGTTGAGACTCATAGATCCAAGAAGCTGGAGGATGCTAAAGTTCAAGTATGCAAAAATAAAAATTTAAGCGTGCAGAAAATTGAGAATGTGAAAATTCGAGGATCCAAGAAATACAAGTCATAAAGATTTCAAAATTCGGAAAGTCAAGCGTATAAGAATTTTAATAGATAATTTAAAAGGTCGAGGGTTGCACTCTGATAAGGAGCTCATCCTTGTTCAAGGATGCAGAGAATTTGTGAACTCGCCTTGGCAACAACGAAGACTCGGTTCCTTAAATTTTAAGATAAGGTTCTCAAGCTTTTTGAATTTCTAAATTTCATTACATGTTAGAACTTTACAAACATGACATGTCATATAGACATATATACAGGAAAAATTTAGAATTTTACAAATATGACATATTTTACAGAACAAATTTTGAATTTTATAAATATGACATATATACATATATAGGGAAAAATATCAAACTTAATGGGATAATTCAAAATTCATAGAAGATACGTATAATAAAAAGACAAAAGTTTTAGACAAAAGTTATACAGTTTGATGAGATGCAATTAGTATCATACCTTAATATTTATACAAAAGTAGTAAGATGAATCAATCGATGTAAAGAAAACATATAGTTGCTTATTTAAAAAATTATGTATTTTGCAATACGCAACTATATATCTTTTTTTTAAGCAATTATATATTTTTTTTATCAAATAATTCATAAAAGTAAATAAGGTATATAAGAAAATCAGTAGTTTACGAGATATTTAATATTTTGTATTAATTTGTGTTAGAATAAAGTATAAAATAACTCTAAAATTATTGATTTTTCGATATCTCTGTCTTGATATTAATGCAGATGAATTATATTATATAAATAAGATGAATTATATTATTATATATAAAAAAAATCATATAATTTAATTTTAAAAAATGACAATAACCTTCATATGACCTCGAAAAACTAATTTTTTTTTTTAGAAAATTAATTTTATCCTTGCGTTCTATCAAGCCATAAAACTTTTGTCTAAAACATTTTTCCGTATCTTTCATATTTTTCAAAATATTTATTTTATTACATTGAAATTTTTTATCCTGTATATAATAAATTATACATTTCAATTTTATCGAGTATTAAATTTCTTAGATCCTAAATCTTCAATTCCCTTTTACCGTTAGATATTTTTATTTTTAAGATAAATTATAAATTCCTCGACTCCTTGAATCCTGAGGTTGGTAAATTCCGGATTTCCTTTACTCTAAGTTTATCTAATTTCCAGAAATTAGATTAAGTTATTTGAATCCTAGATTTCCTGGAATCCTTAAATTCTGAGATCTCCTGACCCGCAAACCCGACATTATGGGTCTTTGACGCTGAAAATGAAATCACGGTCTTTCATTTGAGAAATCTATAATTCAATGAATCAAAGATCAAAATGACTTGAGATCCAAGAAACTTGAAATCCTAGACGAAGCAAAAGTTTAAAAAATTTAATCGATAAAATAAAAATAAAACTTATGAAATTTTTCAATTCTTGTAAATTCAAGAATTTAAATATACCAAAAGCCATTCAGCTAAATATCCTAAAATGATAATAAACTCTCTTTAGAATTATAGGCAAATATACTGCTTGCCATGATAGCACCTAGCTATCCAGACAAGATTACTCGGTGAATAATTCGCGCTCTAATTATGAACGAAACCATTATTCCTCCACATTAGAAATTATTTCAATGAAATTATTTCAGTTCACTAAACAGACATGATTACTCGATAAGATAGAAAGAGTTTGCGTTAAATTATTTGCTAGCTAAGAGACTCCTTTTATATAAAGCAAACTATATTACAGTTATTCACATAAAACTACAATTAAGAAGCTTTAGATCTTCATCAGATCTTTAAACTCTTAAGTCCACTTCTCCTTCCTTGAATCTTACCTCCTTAGGATTATTAAGCGGACAGGGTGGCAAGCAAGGTGCGCAAGCAGGTGCAATACCTCCGTAACGATCAGCGCTTTACACCCATTCATTCACGCAGCCATTCGTGTAGAGGACCTTAGCGTCCACTTAGTCTGATAAAAAATTTCGAGTTATTTTACATTAAATTATTCGCGAAACTTAGGTCACTATCTTATTCGAAATTGATCGAAATAAACGCTTTCCTGTAGACAGAATAGCTTGATAAAGAATTCGGACCGGTTGGATTTGAATTTCTTTTGATAGATTACCATCCCTCTGTACCCTCTAAAATATTGAATCGATTACACTCGGTCCGATTAAGCTCCAGCCATCAATACGCTCAGCTACCAATCTGGACAGGCAAAGTCGGCAGGCAAGATAAATTTAAAGCAGGCAGGTAAGGCAGGCAGACATTACCTCGCTTGGATGTGGTATCGGCTAAGCTGCTAATAAATCCACGTACGGCAATCACGAGAACAAAGAGTCCACAGTGTAGCCAGAACATGTTTACGTCTTAACAACATTGTTTAATTCCATATTACATGACGCTCATGAAACACTGCGACGATGGCGGCTACTGTGATTCCGACGGGCTTTACAAGATTATTCATTACTACGCGCATAATCACTGATGTCTACCACCTCCTTGATCATTAGACGCGGCACGCGGAGTCGAGCGGAACGGAGCGTAGCGGAGCGGATCGGAGCGGATCACGAGTTGATTCTCTTCGATAATACGCTATCGAACGTATACCAATCTTTGAGATATACGAATAGCGCGCTCGTAGCGGGTAGCTGTATGTGCAGCGACGAAAAAAAACGACAGAAAAACAGCGAATTGGATACGTCGCGCGAACGAAATGCAGATGAGCGAAATGGAGCGGATCTTTCTCTTCCTTCTCGTTCTATCTTTTCCTCTTTTTTATCTTTCCTTTAGTATCAGTCAGTCAATCAGTCTCTCTCTTTCTCTCTCTTTCTCTTTCTCCCTCCCTCTCTCTCTCTCTTTCTCTCTCTCTCTCTCTCTCTCTCTCTCTTTCTGCTTGTTCTCTATCTCTCTTTAAATCATCTCTCGGCGGCTTTTTTTGGAGTTTTCGTGCACCGTCGACCGACAACGAGGAGCTGAGATCGACCACGAAGGGAGAGCACACTACTTTCCGACTTCTTCTCAAACCCGGAGCGGATTGCGGCCCTACTACTCTCGCGCGCGCGCGGCCAGAAAAGAGGAAACTGCCCGGACCGAATCACGCCTCGGCTGCCATCTTCTACCTACGCCGGGAGTCTGGAGTATGAAAATATTCTCCGCTCCCTCTCTCTTCTGATCCTCCTCCTCGCTACCGCTCCCGCCAGCCCTCGTTCTTCTCCTCATCACTCCCTCTACCTGCTCGCTACCAACCCTACACAGTTCGCCGCTCGCTCGCTCGCTCGCTCTAGCACCCTCGTTGTACAAGCAGCCTCTCTTTCTTGCGCACCCCCGCGCAGCCCATCACCAGCAGCTTGGACCACCACCTTCTCTTATCGATTCCTGCGCCATTCCGCCTCCCGTCATTCCTGTCAAATCAATAACGCGCGCCGGTCGCGCCGGCGGCTTTCTCGCTGCTGCCGCGGGGGTATCGAGATGTGAAAACCCCCTCTAACGCGCAGGACATGAGAGAGGATGAACCTGGACCAGGTGGCGGGAGCTGCCATGGAGTATCAATCGCTTGAAGATGGTGATCCTGTCGCTTAGTCGGATCCTGTAAAAGAAAAATAGCGCAAAGTGCCTACGCGATTATGAAGAAAATTGCAAATGAATAGTAATAAATTAGGAATGAAGAAATGAGAAGAGAGATGAAAAAGCAAGGTTAGAGAGAAAGAGAGAGATGAGGGGGAAGTAGGAAGATGGAATGAATAAGAAAGCTGAAATAGAAGTATCTAGAATAAAATATTGGAGATACATCGAAGATACAATATTAAGGACCAGTTGTTCTACCTTCAGATAAATTATGTGGTAACATTATCTGTAATGGGTAAACAAAAGAGTAAAAGAATAAGATCATAAGAGATTGATTAAGAGAGTAAGAAATGAGTTGAAGTTTATTGAAAGGTGGAATAATCTATTCTAAAAAAAACAAAGAACGAAAAAGATTGCGAATTTTAAATTTTATTTAAAATTTTTTTTTTAATTTTTCGATTTTGGATATATGAGTAAAAAGAAGAAGAAAAACAATGTATGTGTGTGTATGTGTGTGTGTGTATGGGGAAGGGGGGAGGGGGAGGAAGGAAATAGAAAATGTGGTAGAAATTTATTGTACATTTTTTAATTTTTTGAAAATTTTTTAAAACGTTAGGTGATTAAAATTCTATCTTAGCTCAGAATTAAACAAAGTAAAAGGATATTAAAGATATATACTTAAATGTATTAAGGTAAGGATAAATTAATAGTCGTGAAACCAATTATCATAGAAGTTTCATTCTCTCGGTTTTACTTATAGTAGATGACTATGAAGGAAATATATATCCAAACTACTAATTAGTAGTACGATCATTAGCGTCAATCAAACAAGTAAACTGGAAATAAAAGGGAATAAGAGGGGAAGCTAAATTAGCTAGTCGATAGCATAGAATATGAAATATTGGAGATGGTAGATCAAATGTGAAGTGAAGAGTAGAATTATTGCCAATAGTAATGGTGTGTAAAGAACAATTGAGATTGGTCTGACTAATTGTAAGAAAAAATCTGCGGATGTTGCAGCAGTAGTTGGAATGAAAAGAATTAAGATCTGTGAACTAGGTTTCAAAAATTCTTGGAATGTAAGATGCTAGATAGGCGAGTGCTAAATAATTTAAAATCTCGAGAACTTAGAATTTAAAGAATTCGGATACTAAGATAGTTCGTTTTGCAACAAATATGAGAGTTAGACTTATCAGGATACGAGGAATATAAAAGTATCAGAGCCTACGATTCTGGCAACTAGATTAATTCATGAATTATAATATCCAAGATTCAAAAAAGATCTAAAATCGAAAAAGTTAATATCCGATGATATTATTATTCAAGAAAGTTAATATGTACATGCTGAATTTAGAAAATTAATGAAATTAATGAAATTTTAATTTGGATTCACTTGAGAGTAAAAAACAATTTTGATCATTTTAATTGTGATAATTAGAGTTTGATACTTACCATTATTTATTATTCCTCTACAAAAAAGCGCGGACTTCTTTCTTCCTGCAGAGTTCAGTGTATAACTATTTTGTGCGACTCAGACTTCTAACAGATTTATCATCATCAGTAACTTCTTACCTGCTGGTCAATCTTACAGCCAATTGTCGTCAAGTTGAAGTTTCATATCTAAATTTAAACATACAAAAGCTTACATAGCTTGCAAAAACAAGTGCTCTGCCATTTATCTGACATAGCTGTTTTATATCAGTGAATTTATTTGAGACTCAAGTGTCGCAATGACTGCCTCTCAAGATGATCATAATTATATCTATAAATATGTTAATAATAACAAATTTCTCAAAACAATTATTCAAAATTGATAAAATCGGAGGACATTGTAAAAAATATATATATAATAAGAAATATATATAATAAGAAAAAAGTAAAACTAAAGAATTTATTTAAAAATTTATTTTCAAATTTAAGAAAAATTGTAACATAAAATTAACTCTTTATAATAAAGTTTAAAATTGTTAGTTTTCAAGATGTAAAAGATCGAATTATTATCAAGTGTACTATATCAAGTGTATAAATAGAATTTAAAAAAAGAGAGAAAAAAAATTTCTTTAAAATTTATTTGTATTATTGTTTAGAATAATAAAATAACGATGATATGTATTAATGATACTGTTTTATACAATAATGGATTTTGATGTACACAAAAGATAAAGAGGGCTAACAATATAAGACATATGAAAGATTCATCCATGTTGGTCTAAATTTGGGTCGCTGTGTAGACTGCGCAGCAACCGATTCAGCTTGCGTTTATTTATTTATATCAGATAGCGCGTGAGTGGAATAATGCTATTCTGCACATTTGGCATAGACTACATGTGCATTTTTCATTAAAAAATGTAAAAGCTAAAATATACAAAAATACGGAGTTACATAAATAAAGGCTAAAAAACTATTTTTTTTTTATTCAAAACAGTTATTTAAGATATATTAAATGGTCCATAATTTTAAAAAATTATTTGTTTTTTTATATTTTGTTGATAAATATATTTTAATTGATAATACAAATTGTTTTTAATGAAAACTGAATATTGAAAACAATTGGGTAATTCTTTTAAGCAAATAGGGATAGCTTAATATTTAAAGAAATAATATATAAATTATATATATATATATATATATATATATATATATAATTTGTAATAAGAATAACATGCATTTACAAACATCAAACACAAAATAAATAACTTTTAATAATAATTTTTTAATAATGAAAGTAAACAGTCGCAAACGGCCTAGTCTTTCTCTCTTTATTTTTTCCACTTATTTGTTTATTTGTTTATTTATTTATTTACGTATAGTAGGTACATTTCGATTAATCTGTAGTCGAGAGAAACAGACTTGCGTTCGCAGTGGAACTTATTCGCCGTGCGCAGAGTTCGCCGCCGTGTTTTCTGTGGCGAGAAAAAATAATAGAGAAAAACGCCGTTTTTCGCACTGACCGAAAACATGATATACAGTATGAAATTTGACCAATCTAGGAGAAAAAAGATAAATGTTTTATCTGATTATGTCTAAATGTTTATAGCTTGCATTTTTTTGTTAGCTTTCTACATGAAAGAATTCTGCGGCTCAGAATTCAAAGATGAAAGATAAAAAAAATTATCTTTCCGAAATAATTTCATAAAATATAGATATTAGTTAAAAAATAAAATTATAGTTTAATGTTCTTATTAAAAAGTTTTAATCTTAAATTTACAGAAATAAGTAAGTTTACATAAATTTTTCTATTAATTTAAAATAGTAAAATTATATTTTTCTCACATTATACCTAAAAGATAAGTTATTTTTTTCATTTTTATTCAAGATCTTTTTACATAAATTATTTTCTTCAGATATAAGTTCCAAATTAATACATATAAATTTAATTTTTAAAACAAAAGTGCAGAATGTAATAACAAATAACGTATCCTCTTTGATTGGACAAAAATTTCATATTGTGCGACGACGACAAACATGCGCGCCGGCCATTGAGACAAACAATTGTAATTTTGCGTCATTGTAAAGTGGCAGTCGTGTAAAAACATCCGTCTAATATTAAGTAACTTTATAAGCTCGACGTCAGCGTGAACATTCGCCTCTTCAACAATCGAGCAATCTCCCTGGGCATTATCCTGCGACGCTTGTTAACTGATCCTTTTAGTAAATGCATTCAGTTGCAGCAGTGGTGCGATGGAAGGATTAACCCTTTCTGTGTATGTATCTGAAGATATAGCCTGTCGAATCTCATAAAATTAAGATTCATGAAATTTCGCTTTTATCTTCTTAATCTTAACTTATCTATTTTTAAATGAAAAATAAGATTACACACGTATTAAGGTATTAATGGTGTGGAATCTGATCACAGTGCATCTAAGAACGAACGCTATATGTGCCCAGAAAGGATTAACAAAGAATGCTTATGATGCTCTCATCATAATTTTGCACCGCTCTTTTGTTGGTGAATTTTGTTTATCGACGATAATCTGAATAATTTTTAGTAATAATGAAATAAAATTTTGAGGAAGAGATTCGGGATTTGAGGTATTACATATGTAATATATATGAAAAGATCAAAGAAAAAACATCCAGGTAACTGTGGATTTAGAAAACTGTTTAATCCAATTGTACCAAAACCCAAATAAACGAGAAAGAATAAAAAATTGAGCTGTCGTTTTTATTATAATATTCTTAAATTCGTTTAGACACCATTTTGCAGAAAAATTCACGAACAAAGTGGTGCAAAAACTCATTTGTCAGAAAATCGCACAGGATAATGCGATTGTCGCTATAGTGCATCGAACTCATATTATATAATTTATATATGTATATATACATATATATATATAGATATTATAGATACATGTGTATATGATATATACATGTATATATACTTATATGTATATATATAGGGTGTTCCGTAAATTTTTGCCAAGCGCTTTTTTATATAGATAGAGTAAAATAAGTCGAAAAGTCCTGCATCATTTTGCAATTTTCGCAATGGTTAACGAGATATTAATTACTAAATATTATCGAATATTGATCTTCTATAATTTTTTTACTCAAATATCAACTTTACAGAAAAACAGCAAAAGACAAAGATTGTTTATTTTCTTCTTCTGAGTTTTGAGAATTTTTTCAAAATTTTTTCACAATTTTTTAATACCGTATTTTTTCATGTTGGTAAAAATAGTTGCTAATTAGAAAATATATAAGTACTAAAAAGATAAAAAATTCTGAAAAAATTCTTAGATGTCTAGAAGAAAATAAACAATTTGTGTCTCTTGCTGTTTTTCTGTAAAGATGATAGTATTTGAATAAAAAATTATTGAAGATCAACATTCGGCAATTTTTAGTAATTAATATCTCGTTAACCATTGTGAAAATTGCAAGATGGTAGAAGACTTTTCAATTCAGTTTAATCCACTCTATCTACATAAAAGTGTTTGACAAAAATTGCGGGATACCCTATACATATATGTATGTATTGTTTGTGACTTATACACTTGGCAATTACAGATCTCAATGGCTAATCGTATAATTATACGACCTTTATTATTTACATTCTTGCTGCACTCTCGTCAAACACGCATACGCACATTCCCACGCACGCGCGTATATATGAATTGTATATATATATGTATATACATAGACACATATGGTCTACGCATGTTTCTTCTTTTTTCCATTCTAATCCATAAGGATACGTTATGCATTCATGTATATATACACATATTATACTCCGTAACGCGATAAACCGTTAAAAAAGTCGTCATCGCCAGTATTAATTCTCTCATTTTCTTTCATCGTTAATGCTTAAAAAACCTTAATTTGCACTACTTGTTTTATGTTTCATTTTCGACAGTGTATTGTAGAATTGCATATTAGTTTTTATATTATATAATTCATATATATATATATATATCGATAAAA